AATTGTGAATATTCAAGATCTAAAACTTGGTGTCCTGGTATACACAGACATTGTAGAACGGTCACCACTCATATCCCACTTCACGTAGTTATCTCCTTCTCTTTTCAACAGCTAAGTGTTGCTGGTGGAGATGAAGGACAGACGACGGCGAACGGTGCTCTGAGAGGCTGTGCAGCACTTTCCTGAGCTCACGGAGAGGCGTCAGGCCTACTTGGAAGGTAAGAACAAGTCAGAAAGACCTTCCGCTTCCTTTTCACTCTGGATCAGCTTCACATTGGCAAGCCTCAGGAGAGAACAATCTTAGTATTCAGTAATCGTATTAATTCATTCTCCGCAGCTTATTTCCATTGATCAAATCACCTTAAGTCTGAAACTCCTAGAGCTACCTGGAATAAACCAAGCACCACTGCCACAAATTTCTCTTCAAAATAAAGATACATGCACTGTATTCAACATATAAAGAGAAGGTTCTATGCCAAATATCAAACATTTGCATCCAAATTCATGATAGGGATTTCAAAGAAGATCCGTTGGCCTTTGGGAAGCATGAGAGCTCTCCGGTGACCCTGGGAGGAAGTTTAGCATCTGAGACCCCAAGCACCCACAAGCCACCGATGTGACGTCCCAACCCTGCACCCTTTGCAAAGCCCACTGGAAGGGTGGTCCTATCTAGATCAAGACCAGATGACACCACCTTCCCTGTACGTAAACTTCCTCCAGAGGAATCATTTGTTTTTGTGTTCGAGGCAGCATTCCTAACCAACAAGTCTGAATGAACGAATGATTGAAGCACTAGAGTCCACTGCATGGAAGGCGGGGGCTGAGGGCTGAGGGCTGAGGGCTACACACAGCCCGCTCCATTCCTACCCACTAACTGAAGACCCAGCAGTGCATCCAGACAGGGCTGTGACCTAAACACTGTAGAGCAGTGGTTCGCAAACTTCAGTGTGCTAAGGATTACTTTGAGTGTCTATTACAATGCTGATTTTTTTAAAGGAACTTTGTATAAGATTGATTTATTTATTTGAAAGTCAGAGTTACACAGAGAAGGAGAGGCAGAGAGAGAGGTCTTCCATCCACTGGCCCACTCCCCAATTGGCTGCAACAGCCGATTGCTATACCAATCCAAAGCAGGAGCCTGGATCCTCCTCCGGGTCTCCCACGTGGGTGCAGGGGCCCAAGGACCCGGGCCATCCTCCACTGCCCTCCCAGGCCACAGCAGAGAGCTGGATCGGAAGTGGAGCAGCCGGGTCTCGAACCCGCACCCACGTGGAATGCAGCACTGCAGGCGGAGGCTTCACCTATTGTGCCACAGTGTCTGCCCCTACAATGCAGATTTTGATCTAGTAGGTTTGGACCAGGCATTTTATAAGATCTCTCCAGATAAATGTGATGTAGTTTGTCACTTGTTCACATTTTCCTTTATACACCACCTTAGGAAATTTTCATTCCAGGCAAACTCTCACAGGCCACTGGCATACACCTGCTTTAAATCAATACGCAGGAGACAGGAAAAGGTTCTCAGTGTAGGGCAGAGTCAGTGTTAGAGGAAGAGACGCAGTGGTCGTGTCTTAGGTTTAAGTCTTGACAGTGGGTCAGGAAGAGGAAATCAACAGCGTGGTGCCCTGGTGAAGTAGGCAGACAGACAGGTTAAAATTGATCAGGTTTGTGAGCTGGAAGACCACACCTTCGCCACACCCCTGTGTGACCTCATGCCCCTACCTGACCACACCTGAGTGCCTACTGGCCAATCGAATTAATTAACCACTCCCCTTTGAAAGTGGATTAAAAGCTGGGACACAGTGTGTCAGGCCCTTTCTCTTCTTTTTCCTTGCCCTGGCCTCTTGCCAGTAGGGGGCTGGCTGCAGCCCTGCACGTCCAGGGCACATGGCCTCCGGGCCAACTGCCCCATGCTTCCTGGCCTAGATGCTCCTCCACGTGGCTGGTTTCTGGTACTCAATATGAACCTAGATTTACCCCTCTCCTTTACACAGGACCCTCACTCTCCTATGCATCTTTTGCACTAAATAAAAGCTTAAAACGTACCCTGCTGCCTCGTTCATTTATGCTGGTATTCAGAATTCTTCTTATATTAGGCAAGAACCCACTCGGGCTTATTAATATTGGGAACTTCCTAATAAGCATATGGTGACATGATATGGCACCCCAAATTCCGACATCACATGGCGACCCAGATGGGACTTTTGGGGAATTTTAAGGGGCCACATTCCAATATATTTTAAGGGGTCCAATTCCGATATCACTGGGAGTGGCCACAGTCTCTGGGCTGTGTGTCTTGTGGGCCTTCACAAGAGGGCGACCACCGAAAGAACACCTGACCACACAAACCGATGGGAAAAGAGAAGTCGTGGCCGCCTGTACCATCATGTGCCTGAACACAGCTCTCTGCTTCCCTGGGATCACTTCAGATAAGGCAGTGTCTAGGAGAACACTCTGTAGAGAGAGGGTTTTGCGTAAGACCAATAAAAGTGGCAGCCTGCTTCCTGTAAGCCCCCACAGCCCCATTCACAGGGCTGGCAAACCCAAGGAAGGGGGTGAGGCCTGCTGTTACAGGATAATCCCTCCTCCCCCTCCCTGCTTCCCCTTCCCCTCTCCTGCCACCTCAGGCCTGCCAGGAAGATCCTAGTTCCCATTTTTCCCAGTAACTTCTTCTCTGCTTGGTGTTGGTTCATTTGGTGGCTCAATCAGAGAAAAAAATTAAGATTTTCCTCTGGGAGGTATTTCTTCTAGTGGTTTCTACAAAAAGATGAGCCTTTACCACACATAAGATGAAAAATCAAATGGTGAGCTCCGGCACCCACGGGGATGTGTCTTTTAGGAAATCTATTGAGCAGCCCCGGCACAAAGGAAATCTCTCTCGGAAGTTCTACTCTGTGACAGTGTGAGTTAGAAACTGATCTAGCTTGTGCCAGAGTATTGGAAAGGATCTTGAGCCATCATGTGACCCACCCATAGCTTTGTCTTGTGAAGAGATGATATTTTTTAATCTGTATAAATACCCACTAAAGGAGTTGCCAGTGCACAGCTGAGCTAGTTCACCACAACAAAGCCCGATCTGCCATCACCTCTCCCACCTGGTCTGGAACAGCAGACTGAAACTGCACTGACTCCTGCCACCACTACCGCTACGCCATCACCTTCTCCCCTCTCCCCTCCCCAAATGATCTAAACCAAGAAAGACATCACGTCAATTCCCAGATTAAAGCCTTGCTGTGACTGCCCACTGTCTCTTGTATGGAGATCCACATGGCCTACAAGAGCCTACGAGATGTTAGCTTAGCCTCTCTCCTCCCCACTCTCACCTCTAGCCCCACTGGTTTCCTTTTATACCTCCCGATATGCCATTATGCTCCTGTTACTTAACAGCATTTGCATAGCTCCTGAGGGATTTATTTGCTCCGAGTCCTACTGTCCCTGTGTTACTTAGCCCATATTTTTGGTCTACCGTATTTATAACTGTTCCCTTTCATTTACATATTTATGTGCATATTTTCTTAATGTTTGTTTTCCTAACTATACTATAAAGCTCCATAAGGTAAGGTCTTGGGGCTCTTTGGCTCACAAACATTTTCTCACTGTCAAAGAGAGACACACAGCAAGCTCGCAATGAATACTTTCCTAATAAATGAACTATTCTTTTATCTAACAAACATTCATGCCTTACATTGAACCAGTTTCTAATTGGTTCTCAGAAGAGAGAGAGAACTGCTGGCCACTTGCCTCTGACCCTCCCTTAGCTTTGGACGTAGTGCAATATTACTGTGGTGGAAATGTACACATGCCTCACTAACAAGAGAACTGGGCAATGTAAGTCAATTACAGTATCAACAGGTTAGTTTATTAACAATAGGTATTGTCAGCGTTATTCATTTTCTTCCACTTATTAATTATCTTCCAGTTCAAACTCTGATTTCATATGTCAAAAGATTAATATAGTCATTTATGGCAACTAGATGTGTGTGTATGTGTCTGTGTGTGTGTGAGAGAGAGAGAGAGAGAGAATAGGGGAAAGAAAGCAGGAAGAGACAGAATAAAGAAGCAAATGTTAGAATGAACCTTAAGATGGGAATAAAAAAAAAAACAGGAATTAGTGATGTTTCAAGAACAAATTAGGGATTTAATGGAGAGGCATTTATTTGAAAGAAAAATTATTTTTAAACAGTATCAATCTCTTTTCATATAATCAAAATCCAAAGCAAAGATTGTATCCTGACTGAACTTCCATCTATGTTTAGATCTCAGCAACATATAAGCTGGGTTTTCTGTTTTGTCTTTTACTAAGTGTCCCTAATTTAGAAAATAACAACTCTTTACGAGCTACCAACACTTTACTCGCTACACCCTATTTGGTCTTCAGTAACATACACCCCATTTTACAGGTAAGGAATGTAGGGGTTTGGAGGTTAAACGATTTGCCCAGATTCACATCCCAACTGCAGCTGATTCGAAACCCGATGCTCCTCTTTCGTCTCACCTAGTCTTTAAAACGAGAATCCAATACTTGCTCGGGGTGAAAGTGCTTCGCTGTATTCCTCCAGATTACCCAGAGAGTGGTTTTCCAAAAGCGGTTCTCAGGTCAGCACCCCAGCCTCACCTGAGAACTGCTGGAACCCCACTTCTCTGACCCTCGCAGCGCAGACTGGGGCAGGGCTCGGGGGGCCCAGCGACCTGCAGTTAGCACGTCTTCTGCAGCACGCGGTTTCGAGATCAAAGGGATTCGAGGCTCCGGAGGCCAGAGGAGAGCCCCACCACCCGGCCCCGGGCCTCTCCAGCCCCCCAGCCAGGGATCTGAAGGTTTCCGGCTCAGCGCGCCTGGGTTTCCAGCAGGTGTGCTGTAAACAGGCCACATCTGCACCGCATCTAACCCCGCAGTATGGGAGCCTGCACGAGGCCGGGTTTCCGCGGGTCTGCACCTGTGCGTCCGGCGGCCGGCACAGGAAGCGGAAGTCCCGAGGCTGCGCGCGGGTGGGACACTTCCGGTCCCGGGTGGGACACTTCCGGTCTCCCTGGTTTGGTTTCTGAACCAGGGTGCGCAGGATCAAAGGTCTCTTGGGTACAGATCAGCAAAGCTAGCTTTGATGCTTGTGCACACAAACAACTCTGGCCAGTTGTGAAGAGGGCAGGTGACTGAGGTCAGGGGGGGAGGGAGAAATTCCCACCTGAGAGCTGAGGGCGATGCTTGAGGCTGTGGTTGCCTTTTTGAATTTCCCGAGGCACTGATGACAAAGACCTTTTAAAAGTTGAAGTCGAGGAAGTTCCAAAACCTTAGTAAACCAGAAGGAAAAAACGGTTTGCACAAAAGGATTCTTTTTTCCCTTACAGTCAAAAAATACCAGGAGACCTTAAAGGAATTCTGCCGCTAAAAATTCCACCTGCGGTTGAAATCAGTTAATTTAATTTACTCTGCTAGATGATCTCTAGGGAAGTGAACACCAATGGAAATCGAGAGAACAGGAAAGGCCAGACCATGTGTTCCACTTAGTATTTAGCTGAGGTTTTCATAGTTATTTGTTTGTACCTAGAGAAGCATATTCATTCTAACACCAGAAGAAATTTAGGTTGTTTTCAAAACAGTGAAACTTCTAGATGAGTAAACAGGATAATTTGTGAATCAGATAAATGCATTTGGTGTTTAATTAGGGGAAACCAATAAAAGCCACTTGTTTAGAAAGGAGAAGTGAGTTTTCTGCAGTCACAGAGCCTCATTTGGTAAGTCAGTCCCACTACCATATACAAAGGAAATAAAACCACAGGGGTGTCTTGTTCACACTCATGGTCTAGAATCTTTAGGACCACTAGTGTGGTCTTGCTGTCGGGTTAAAGAGAGTTATTCAATGCCAGCAGTAAAGCATCTGGACTGAAATAACATACTAGACTTTGTTAAATTCATTTGTGATCAAGTGATGTAGCAATAGTGGTCTCCATATTTTAGATCTAAAGACTGGAATTCCCGATATGATCAATGTTTCTAATTCCACCTCTCACGGTGCTGCCTCGTGCTTCCTGAAATTCTTGTGTGCCATATATCTTTTTAAAATAATAGAGCTCCGATACACAAGCACTGTCTCCTTTTAGCCTAGAATAGTAAGTCAATTCTGGCACATTCTGAGAACATCTATGACTCTAAGGTAAATTCTGGGTTCTAAGTCAAGCCCTGCTGTGAAAACTAATCTTTGCTTTAGATCTCCACCTTGTGGTTAGATGTTTAAAATGTAAATTCTTGTGGGTTTTGTGATCCTGGTTTATATCAGTCTTCTAAAAAGGAAGTCAGGATGGACATTGTCTTAAAGTAACTCGGGACTTACAATTGAGTATTTAGAAGTCTGTAATTTGGATTCGGTTGGGCTTCAGAATGAGTTTTCCCTCTGAGCTTTCAGTTGCCACTGTGCAAGTGCTTTGAGAAGTTGGCTTTGTGTTTCTTAAGGATTTGAACAGAATTTCAGAGACATTTTTTAAGTTAGTGTTAATATAAAAGGAGCCAGTAAGAGCAACCTCATTCATTGTATCTTCCCTATGGGTGGAACATAGGGGTCTAGAGCTTACATCCTTAAAACGTGAGGGAGAACCATTAGAAATACTCCAACATGTGGTTCAAACTGGACCAAGAGAACGCTCAGGTGACAGCTATCACGCCCTTAATTCATTTTGTAGGTTTCCTCATCACAATGTAGGAAAGCCGTGTGACAGCCACTGGGTGGACAGTAGTGCTCTGTGCAGCTCACAGACCATGTGGTTACAACATGAAGTACGCAAGAGTGGGCCTCGTGCTTTGGGTCAAGGTTAGAGCTTCTGGGATCTATGTAAGACTCAATTTTCAGAATTCAGTTAACCAAGGGAACACTTCTTGAATTTTATGTATTCATTGTATACATATTACCATTGACCTCTGTTATTTTTCTCTACATTCAACCACAGATACCTGTGACTGTACCTTAAAAATATACTCAGAACCTGGAAGCTTCTTGTCACCCCCTCATTCATTCATAGCCGCCAGACTGATCCTACTAGAACGTAAGTCAGAGTCCTATCACTCCTCTGTGTAAAAGCAGCTATTTCCCTCTTGCTCAGAGGAAAACCCAGGTTTTCCTGGTGGCCCTCAGGACCCAGTCTCACTGGCCTGCGTCACTTGCCCTCCCTGTGCGGCAGCCACGTGGCCCCGTTGGTGGTCGCGGTGCAGAAAACCCTTTGGTTTATGAGCAGTAGGCTTGCAGGACTCTCCTCCCAGACGCTCCTGCTCTGGGCTCCCTCACGCGGAATCCAGGCCTCTTCCTGGCCCCCATTAAAATTACGACACTCCTCGCACCCGGCCAGTCCTGAGTCACTGCTGTGTTTTGTTTTCTTAGCCCCACCCCACATACATCTTACTTGTTTACCTCATGTACATCTCTCTTCTCCCCTATAAGTTACACAAATAGGGATTTGGCTTGTTTTTTTCGCTCTTGTATTTCCAGCGTTTCACAACAGTGCCTGGCTCGAGGTTGGTAAAGGTAAACATTTGCTGAAAGAGTGACTGCCTTATCCTTTGCATCTTTGGGTCCCTTGGGGCCATGTCTTGGATGTTTGCATTCCCAGCACTTAGCATAGTGCCTGGCACTTAGTAGATCTTTAATAAATGTTTGATAGATAAATTAATGATTGTTGAAATGCCTTCTTGAGGACTCTCAACTTATTGAGCATATAACTTATTGAGCATATAAACATATTTTGTTTATCACTCTTTTTGTAAGATTTGTTTTATTTGAAATGCAGAATCAGAGAGAGAGAGAGAGAGAGAGAGAGAAACTATCCATTCACTGATTCACTCCCCAGATGGCCACAATGGCTAGGGCTGGGCCAGACAGAAGCCAGGAATTTTTTCCAGGTCTCCCATGTGGTGGCAGGGCCCAAGCACTTGGGTCATCTGCTGCTGCTTTCTCAGGCACATTAGCAGGGAGCTGAATCGGAAGAGCAGCAGCCAGGACTCGAACCAGTGCCCACATGGGATGCTGACACTGCAGGCAGCAGCTTTAGCTACTATACTACAGCGCCAGCCCTGTCGCTCATTTCAAATATGTTCTGTTGAACTATCATTTAGAATGTTTTAACTACATTACACATTATTCCTATTGATTAGATTATAGGCACAATCTTACTTGAGTATTTAAGACTGTTTATTTGGGGGCCAGTGCTGTGGTGTAGTAGGTAAAACCACTGCCTGCAGAGCTGACATCCCATGTGGGTGCCAGTTCCAGTCCCAGATGCTCCTCTTCTGATCTAGTTCCCTGCTAATGTTCCTGGAAAAACAGGGGAAGATGGCCCAAGTCCTGCACCCATGTGGGAGACCTAGCAGAAGCTTCTGGCTCCTGGCTTCGGATTGGCCCAGCTCCGGCCACTGTGGCCATTTGAGCCTTTTGAGCAGTGAACCCGCAGATGGAAGATTCTCTCTCTCTCTCTCTCTCTCTCTCTCTCTCTCTCTGCCTTTGCTTCTCTATAACTCTGCCTTTCAAATAAATAAATCTTTTTTTTTAATTTTCCTTTGAAAACTTGAGTCTTTAAACTTCATCTAAAACTTCTTTGACACTGTCAACTTGGTGATCTGAAGGTTGAGTTAGGTAGACTGTTTTTTAAAAATTGTGCATAGTTGAGGTTTACAACATGTTATGAAATGTATAGAGATAGTAAAATGCTTAGTACAATGAAGCAAATGAACATATCTGTCATCTCACATAGTTTATTTTTATGATAACAATAGTTAAAATCTACATATTTAACAAAAGTCCCAAATGCTGTATAATTTTATTCACTCTAGTCCTCATGTTGCTCAGTAGATATCTAGACTTGCTCATCCTACACATCTGCTTCCTATGTCCACTGGTCTGTTTCCCCCTCTCCTCCCGGTCTCATATATATATCACACTTTCTTTATCCGTTTGTCCACTGGGAGGCACTTAGGTTGTTTCCCTATCTCAACTATTGTGAATAATGTTACAGTGAACTTGGGAGAGCAGATATTTTTATGCAATAGTAATTTCATCTCCATTGGGTATATACTCAGAAGAAAAAATGCTGGATCATATGGTAGTTCTACTTTGAATTTCCTTAGAAACTTCCATACTGTTTTCCATAATGGCTGTTATCAGTCTATATTCTCACCATCAGTATATGAGAGTTCTCTGTTCTCCATAACCTTATCAACATTTGTCTTGTCTTTTTGATAATAGCTCTCTCTCTTTTTTTTGGGGGGGGGGCTAGGGGCTTGTAGGGCGGGGCCCGTTCCTGGGGGCTGCTGCTGTGACACACCCACTCCTGACGCGAACTGTGGCCATCCACGTGAGATGAGCTTGTAGCTGGGGTACGGGCTGTCCCACGATGGCCTCCTAAGCCTGAGCGGCCACACGTGGGCTCTCTCGCATTCCCTGCAGGACCAGAGTCTGGGCACCCATGCACACCCCATGATCCTCCCACCTCCCCTGGGCCGGGATGAGGCACAGCCCCAGGAAAGCCTGTGCCACCTTGCACGTGGAGGCCCATGGGCAGCCAGCTCCATAGGCCCACAGCCATGCCCGACACTCCAGGCTTCCTGGACAGCTGGAGGCACAGAGATGGGAGGTCTCATGGCCAAGCCAAGAGTCTGCAGCGCGCACTCCCAAGGCCCCGGCTGCAGTTCCCAGGAGGAGGGAACTGTTTGCATTGCAAACAGACCTGCTTCCTCATAGTATGTGAGGTGCTACCTCATAGTAGTTTTGATGTGTATTTCCCTGATATTTAGTGATGTTGGGCACTTTTCATATACCTGTTGGCCGTTTATATGTCTTCTTTGGAGAAATGTCTATGTAAGTCCTTGCCCATTTTTTTTTATTTGGGTTGTTTGTTTTCTGCTGTTGAATTGTAAGAGTTGCATAAATTTTGGAGATTGTAACCCCTTATCAGATTTGCTTTGCAAATAGGTTGCCTTTTCATTTTTTATTGTCTACTAAATGGAAAGATAGCTTGTGCTCATGAATTGAAATAATTAATATTGCTAAAATGCCCATACCACCCAAAGCAATGTATGTATTTAACACAATTCCTATCAGAATTCCAGTGCCAGTCTTCACAAAAATATGAAGGGGCTTTCAAAAGTTCATGGAAAATGGAATTAAACAATAATTCAAATTTTCCATGAACTTTTTCACAGTCCCTTTATAGAAAAAAAATTATAAAATTTATATGGAATCACAAAAACCCTGAATAGCCAAAACAATGTTGAGAAAGAAAAACAAAGCGGGAAGCATCACACTTCCTGATTTGAAAATATGTCATCAGTAACCCTGTGATGCTGGCTTGAAAACAGATACATTGATGACCAGGCCAGAATCGGGAGCCCAGAGATTGATCCAAAACACACACAGGAAACTGATTTTCAACAGGGTGACAAGAGCACACAATGGGTAAAGGGAGTCTCTTCATCAAATGGTGCCGGGAAATTGGATTTCCACATGCAAAAGAATGAACCTGGAGCCTCATCTTATACCATACACAGAACGGACGAAGGAACTGAAACCATAAAACTCATAGAAAGGAAATCGGGAAAATCTTGACATTGGCCTTTTCAATACACTTTGGATATCACCCCAAAAGCCCAGGCTACGAAAGCAAAAACAAATGCACAGGGCCACGGGAGCCTTTCTTTCCTGTTTTTCTTTTCCCTTTGGAACTTCCTTCCTCCTCTCCCCAGACCCAAGACCCCTCTGTGTTCTCACGGTGCCCGCCACAGGTCACTCAGCGGGGAGGGAGAGGACTCCGCTTCCCTGATGGTGACAGCCCTGTGTCTCAGAACCGCACAGCAGCGTCTCCCCGGGTCTGGATAAAACTCAGGTTCTGATTCAGAAGGTTGGAGGGGCGCCTGAGGCTCTGCTTTCCAGTGACTTCCCGACGCTGCTGACATGTGTGTCAGAGGTGACGCTGGAGTAGCAAGCGGCTCATTCAGGTTTAGCCCACGTGTGTCCGTCTGGCGCTGGTGGTCTCTGCGTGGGGATGCTGGGTGTCTTCGAGGGTACACGGTCCAGCTTTATTTTAGCCTCTTCACTGCCACCAAGTTCTTCTCCATACTGGGGGGTCTGGGCGGCCCCTGGGGCTCCTGTCCCTCTGCTAATCTCTGTGTACCTTCCTATGGAGCCACGGAATGAGAGGGCCGACACTGTATTCCCGCAAAGCGCCGTGGGGACAGGGGTGGGGTTTCCCCTGGCCTTGTCCTAGACCCCACACAGAACAGTCCCAGCAAGCCTTGCAGGTGTGGCTTCTGGAATCGCTTAGTCTGAGAACAGAGGACTGCAAAGGCGGATGCCTGTCTGAGTGAAGCCCGTCCTTGAGGAATGCACCAGCCTCGCCAAGCCTGGCTTCTGCGCCAGGGTGAGTGTGGCTCGGTGGACTCCGCAGCCCAGTGTGAGTCCAGACGGGAACGGTGCTCGTTCCTTTGCCACCTGCTCCGTTAGGAATTTTCTCAGAGCTTCCTTGACTTTCCTCGTGGAGAGAAAACCTGCGTCTGCCTCCCCGCCAGCAGATGGGGGACTAGCACCCTTGTCACCGAGACTTGCCCCTCAAAACCGCGGTGAGGTCGTCTTCTCTTGGCCTTCGCCTAGGACCGGGCAGTGCCCCCACCCCATGCACTTTGTTACCGTTTCCTGTTTCTCTTTGGCTTCCGCTGAGACTCAAAAATAAATATTCACATTGTGGTGGAGGCTGCAGGAGCCAGGGACCGGTAGGGAGGGATGGTCCATCCTGCGTGGTTCCCGGCCTCAAAAATGAAGGAGCCACTTAGCCCGCCCTCCCCAATGCCACCTTTTCCTCCTGTCTGTCTGTACCGGAGCCAAGTCTACCCCTGTCCCTGAAGCCAGTGCCACACTCTCCCTGGCTCAGCTCCGCATCCGTCCCCGCACCACCTCCACCTCACCCCTCTGCAGCACCTGCAGCCCGACTGCCCATGTCAGTCCCAGCCCCGGGATTTTATGCAGGTTAAGGCCAGTTATGTGCTGCCCTCAAACCTTCCAGACCGCCCTTCCCCAAACCCACAGTCAAGCTCAACTCCACCCTGCACCTGGGGTTATGCCTGTCCCCTCCTTGGCCCTCTCGTCTTCCTTTAGGGTCTCCATGATATTCCACTAAGTTGAATAAACGAAAGAATCTTTTACCACCATCTCTGGGGCTTGGTGATGGTAAGGTTGACCCCAAATGCTATTACTTCCAGAAACTTGGAATTCAGAACACACAGAGTGCCTTTGACCCTCAACTCTGGTCTTAAGGCCTTAGACACTGTGGAAGGAGGATGGGGACTATCATATTCCATCTGCTGGAACACTCACATGAATGAACGGGTGAATGGCAGGGACTCCGCTTTGGCTCCTCCCATTTTCTCCTCCTCCGAGGAATGTGTCTGTAGATAGAGCTCATGACAGGGAGGGAGGGAGACTGGAGATGAAGATGAGAGTTACCAGAGCTTTGTGGCTGTGTGCAAGTCACTAAGCTTCCTGGTCCTCTTGGCCTCTCTGATCCGTGGGGGGAATAATTCTTTTGCAGTTTTAAAATCGAGTATGGAAATAGGAAATTAAAATCCTTAGCACTTAATGTCTCACCCATAGTGGGTCCTCAAGAGGTAGGTATCCAACAAATTATAGGTTTATCACTGTCACTCCTGCTTTCATAACTTTGCAGATTTATTTTATCCTCAAAATCTAAGTGTCCTTTGGACACAATGCACTGAAGAGAGACTTCTGTGAAAATTAAATTTTTACCTTGATTCTAGGCACAGTGACATGAAGTTGCAAGTGAGTTGCACTGGATCATAAGGAGCATACAGTTTTGAAGGTAGAGTTTAAAAAGTAAGTATGAAAACATGTCCCTTCAGCTTAGAAGTCCTAGCATACCATGTCTGTAACAATAAAAACAGTTGCTACTTCTTGAGTGAGAACTACATACAAGTTAGCTTATCAGACATTTTAAGTGCAGCTAGCCACTTACCCTTTAAAATATATGCTGCAAGTGGCTGTTTTGTACCCATTTTCCAGATAGAGAAGTTGAGTCTCTACAAGTTTAAGTGACTTGCCCATAGCTTATGAGCATCAGATCTAGGATTCATGAGCCTAAAGCCTGTTTGAAGCGCCAATAAATAGAAAATATAGGCTGGACTTACCTACCCTTGCGAGTAGCAGCGTTTCTTTAAATTGGGTAGACGGTGAAAAGTAGTGCTGGGAGAGTCGGCCTGAGTCTGTTTTATACAGGCAAAGTGATACACCAAGGCCAAGCAACTCGTGATTGGTAAATGTTGGCCAGGAGCCCTAAAATTGCTTGGTGGGTGTCCTTTTCCGCTCTCTTTCCTCAGACCCAACTAGCTGGCGGCATAAGTGAATCTCACACAGGACGTGGTCCTTTCTCCTTAAGAGCTGATGCATGGCCATTCCCTGGAAATTCCTTTCCTTGTGCTACTTTAAGAATATATCATCTCGGCCGGCGCCGCGGCTCACTAGGCTAATCCTCCGCCTTGCAGCGCCGGCACACCGGGTTCTAGCCCCGGTCGGGGCACCGGATTCTGTCCCGGTTGCCCCTCTTCCAGGCCAGCTCTCTGCTGTGGCCAGGGCGTGCAGTGGAGGATGGCCCAAGTGCTTGGGCCCTGCACCCGCATGGGAGACCAGGAGAAGCACCTGGCTCCTGCCTTCGGATCAGCGTGGAGCACCAGCCGCAGCAGCCATTGGGAGGTGAACTAACGGAAAAAAGGAAGACCTTTCTCTCTGTCCACTCTGCCTGTCCAAAAAAAAAAAAAAAAATTATATCATCTTATTCAGTGTTCTCTCAGAAAGCTGTCTGCAGGTCATGGAATCGGCTTGATGGCATCAGAATTCTGCCTGGCCAACTCCTTCATTCTGTCGGTGAGGAGGGCCTATCTAAGGGGGCTGAATGGATTTTTCTAAGGTGACACACCTCTAGTACTACCAACATTTTGCTCAGCCTACCACACTGTTTCAAACATTTGTCATGACAAAGAGAGGAAAAAGTAATGAGGAAAATGCAAGATTGCAAGGGCAAGGGGGCTTTTCTCCTTAATGGGACTTTTATGAATGATTCTGTCCAGGGAAGAATCCCTCTAAAAGACAAGAGTTCTTCCCTTTTTTACATCTTTTTTGTTTTTCCTATTTTGAGCTTACTGAATTCATCACATATTCTAATGTTTTCTGTCCCTGGAAATCTGGATCATTAAGCTGTGAATTATCCATAAGATTTTAAATTCAAATCCAAAGTGTCCTCACTTATTTCCTCCAGACTTTGGAACGTGAGCCCATGGTAATCAGACGGCTTACAGTACTCATGAGTTGAGCGGAAATTTGGCTCTGGGTGCTGCCAAAGCTCTCTGTGTTGATGAGTATTACATATTAACAAGGTGCAAAATAGCTTACGGCAACAAGCCCACTCCTTTGGAGTCCAGCTCTGTTGTTTGTTTTCTTCTGTTGGCAGGAAAACTGGGATGGAGCTGCATCTCAGATGTGTGAAGCCCGCCAGATATTGTGTACATGTGGGGACACGAGCCTGATCCCCCAGACCATTAATGAAGATTGGAACAAGCAAAGAAGGGGACGCCAAGGGCCATTGTTGCGGGTGCTTCTGAATTCATTTGTGATGCCTTTCAGCAAGGGGTGATGGAACCCGTGCCAGCTCATCTTGCTGCAGCACGTGCCAGTTGCACTTGCTCATGCCAGTGGCCTAAGCACGAGAAAATCTAGGTAACAAGAAGACACATAGAAAAAAGTGATATAACAGATGAGTTGGATTATGTTAATTCACATTGCTAAACTTTTTTTTCATTTGTTACACATGAATAATAATGATTTTTCTCCTAAGCTTTCTCAGGGTTGCTAACATAATTTGCAGAAAATTACAACCATGAGTTGCATGCAAATACAAAATAAATGCCTGTTACAGGTTTTAATCAACTCATTTGTTAAGGAGGAAATCAGGTGAGCTGTTAAGACTGGTCTAACAAGTATTTGAGGACTTAGGAATTTATAAGCAATTTAATAAAGGAATGTCAGTATAAGATCGCTAGACTAGATACTAAGAATCTGGTTAATATCCTACAGGGCAATAAACCATAACCTTTGGGATGATCTGTTCTACAAAACAGACATGGTCTGCATTTTTACAGTACAAGAATCTCATGAGAATGCTGCTCGGTGCCCTTTATTCATTAGTAAATAGTAAGCTACATAATGGCATTCTCCTTGAGTGACTCTTCAACTCAGATGATATTCAAAGAACTTTCCATCTACATTTTTTTCTTTCAGTTTTGGATACTTTTTCTTTTTTTAAAATTTATTTATTTATTTGAAAGTCAGAGTTACATAGAGAGAGAAGCAGAGAGAGAGAGAGAGAGAGAGAGAGAGAGACAGGTCTTCCATCAATGGTTCACTCCCCAATTGGCCACAACGGCCAGAGCTGAGCCAATCTGAAGCCAGGAGCCAGGAGCTTCTTCCGGGTCTCCCATGTGGGTGTCGGGGCCCAAGGACTTGGGCCATCTTCTACTGCTTTCCCAGGCCATAGCAGAGAGCTGGATCGGAACTGGCATAGCCGGGTCTAGAACCGGCGCCCATATAGGATGCCAGCACTTCAGGCTAGGGCATTAACGCGCTGTGCCACAGCGCTGGCCCCAGATACTTTTTCTTAATAGGGAATCTAAATTTCTTTTTTAATTAAAAAATTAGAACAAGGGTTTGTCCTAGTGGCCTACATGCCACACTGGAGGGTAATGAGTTCCATTCTTGGCTCCAATTCCTGTAATACAGACCCTGGGAGGCAGCAGTGATGGCTCGAATAATTGGGCTCCTGCCACCCACATGAGAGACCTGGGTCACATTCTTGTCTGTCTGTCTCTCCCTTGTGTCTCTCTGCCTTTCGAAGAAATAAAAATATTTTTTTTAAAATTACATATGTGCTTTTTTTAGTAATATAGGCATTTCTTAAATATGTATGTAGCAGTGTGGGAAAGGAATTCAGATTACTAGAGAGTAATGTGAACTGTCCATAGAATGGCAAATACGTAGAGGAATCCTTGGAGATGGGCAATAGGGACGGAAGCCCTCTTGGGTTTACTCTCTTGTGTGTCAAATGCTTGCTGTATGCCAAGTCGCACACTGGGTGCTTTACAAAGACTATTTCTCATGACCCTGAAAACAATTCTGAGGATAACTGGAGAGCATGGAGTCAGTAACCCTGAGGTCACATAGCTACTGAGTGGAGGAGCAACGGGCCAGACTCCAGACTGCTGAGCTCCTGAGCCTGTGCCTTCGCTGTGCGCTGCGACTTCTCACCATGTCACTGTAGCAACTTTGCACATTTAATTAGAAGCACAAATGTAGAGTTTTAATTCTTGTTTCAGCATTTGCTTGTCAGTGTGCCAGTGACTTGCCCTAGTTGTCTTAATCATCCCTTACAGAAAACACTCTCAGTTGCAGTTTAAAACAAAACACAGTATTTACCCCAAACACAATTTGCTATAATTTAAGAATCTTCAAAGTATCTTGTGGGATGGATTATCTATAAAAGGGTCTCTTTTTCTCTTAGAGTTTAGAATCCAAGAGAGACTGCATAAATATAAGAACACACTGACATACATAAAACTATGTAAACAGTGAACAAAGTTTAAACAGATGTAAACTATGTACCACTTGCATCACCTAAGCAGTGTTTCTAAGAGAAAGCGTATCGTGGGTTAACTTTAACTTTTGGAAAATCAGGGGCCTTTTTAATTATGGTGGTACAGAAACTAGTTCAATAGTTTGGACATATTTATATATATGAATATAAATATATATTCATAAATATAAATAAATATAAAATATAAATATATACATATATGTGAAATCTCATCTGGACAAGACAATACACAAGAATTGAGAAATGCAAGTTTGTCATAACATTTGTATTTTCTCTCGAACATTTATTATAGTTGATAATAATCCCCAAATGGCTATCATAGGGATTACAATTACTCTCTCCTCTTTTTATCTTGTCAAAAGAGAATGTTAATGGATAAAGATATGTGGACACCTATGGGGTTTTGAGAAGCTGACCACATTTATTTAAGATTTGTGTGGAGGAGGTTTTGAATTTAGCTTTTAAATTGAGGTAAAAATGTATGGGGTACCATGTGATGTTTTGATATATGAACATATTGTGTAATGTTCAAATCAGAGTAAACATATCTATCTCCTCAAACAATTATCACTTCTTTGTGGTGAAAACATTCAAAATCCTTTCTTTTAGTTTTTTGAAATTCACAGAACGTGGTCATTATCAATAGTTACCCTACTTTGCCATAGAATATCGGAAACCTGTTCTTCCTATATAACTATAACAGATTACCCATTGATAAACATTTCCCCATTGTTCTCCCCAACGTCTGGTAACCACTATTATACTCTCACATTCTATAAAATCAGCTTTTTCCAAATATAAGTGAAAAATGTGTTATTTATCTCTCTGTCTTATTTCGCTTAGCATAATGACTAGTTTCATTCATGTTGATACAGATGATAGGATTTCATCCTTTTTATTGCTGAATAGTATTCCTTTGTGTACATGTGCATTTTCATTGTCCATTCATCAGTGGATGGGCACTCAGATGGATTCCATTTCTTGGCTATTGTGAACAGTAATGCAATAAACATGGGGTTATAGATGTCTCTTCAACAGACCGATTTCATTTCCTTTGGATAAATGCACAGTGATGAGATTGCTAGACTGTATGGTAGCTCTATTTTTAATTTTTTGAGGAATACCCATTCTGTCTTCCTTGGTGTCTACACTAATTTCCATTCCCATCAACAGTGCCTAAGGGTTTCTGTTTTTCCACATCTTCACCAACACGTGTTATTTTTCGTCTTTCTGATGATAATCATTCTTTTTTTTTTCCCCCATTCTTTAGGATTTATTTGGCAGGCAGAGAAACAGAGAGAGAAAGAGACACACATAGAGATATACATATTTCCCCAAATTGCTGCAACAGCCAAGGCTGGGCCAGGACGAAGCCAGAAGCCAGAAACTCCATCTGGGACTCCCATGTGCATGGCAGAGGCTCAAGCACTTGGGCCGTCTTCTACTGCCTTCCCAGGTACGTTGGCAGGGAGTTGGATTGGAAGCAGAGCAGCTGGGACTCGAAATAGCACTCTGATTTGGGGTGCTGGCATCTCTAGTGGTTGCTTAACCCACTGTGCCACAGCGCTGGCCCTTGATGATGACATCTGTAACTGGGGTGAGCTAATATCTCACTGTATTTTGGTTTGCATTTCCCTTATGATTAGTGATAATGAATATTTTTGTATATTTTGTTTGTGGGGTTTACATGAATGTATGTGGTAAGAAAAATTCCAATATGTCTTAAATTTAATTACAAGGGGGGCCGGCGCTGTGGCATAGCGGGTGAAGCTGCCGCCTGCAGTGCCAGGATCCCATATAGGCACCGGTTTGAGTCCCAGCTGCCCCACTTCCAATCTAGCTCTCTGCTGTGGCCTGGGAAAGCAGCAGAGGATGGCCTGGATCCTTGGGCCCCTGAACCCACATGGGAGACCCGGAAGAGGCTCCTGGCTCCTGGCTTCTTTGGGATGGTGCAGCTCCGGCCGTCGCGGCCAACTGGGGAGTGATATTCTCTCTCTCTCTCTCTGCCTCTCCTTCTCTCTCTGTGTAACTCTGACTTTCAAATAAATAAATAAATCTTTAAAAAAAAAGAAAAGAGAGAGAAAAAAGAAAAAGAAACATTTAATTACAAGGGATGAGGTTGGAGTGGGGGGAGAGATAAGGCAAGTTAATTAGTTCACAATTACAGGCCAAAAAAAGGCTGTTCCACATTCCTGAATGTTCAAACCTTGACTTAAATCCCATCACAGCCACTACCAGGGCTACTGTGCCTGTTAACACATAAACTATTTTGACTATTGACCTCAACATGGCAGAAGTAACAATTACTTCTCTTTTTTTTTTCTAAGAGATTTTTTTTAAAGATTTATTTTATTCATTTGAAAGACAAAGTTACATAGAGAGGTAGAGACAGAGAGGTCTTCCATCTGCTGATTCACTCCCCAGATGGCCGCAATGGCCAGAGCTGTGCCAATCCGAAGTCAGGGGCCAGGAGCCATCTTCTACTACTTTCCCAGGCCATAGCAGAGAGCTGGATTGGAAGTGGAGCAGCCGGGACTAGAACAGGCGCCCATATGGGATGCTGGTGCTTCAGGCCAGGGCCTTAGCTCGCTGTGCCACAGCACTGGCCCCAACAATTACTTCTCCTTTGGACTACCCTCCTATCCCAGTTTTCCCCCCTGCTTTGCACTATCCTACCCTCTTCTCTGTAGCCAGTGTAGGTTCAATATTAACGACTTATGCTTTCCTTCTCAAGTTTTTGCTATAAAAATGCTCTTTTTTATAGAAAGCTTTTATTTAATAAGTATAAATTTCATAAGTACAACTTTTGGGTTGTAACGGTTCTTCCCTCTACATCCGCCCTCCCACCCCCAAACCATCCCACCTCCTACTCCCTCTCCTATCCCATTCTTCATTAAGATTCATTTTAATTAGCTTTATATACAGAAGATCAACTTTATACTATGTAAAGATTTCAACAGTTTGCACCCACACAGACACACAAAGTATAAAGTACTGTTTGAAGACTAGTTTTACCATTAATTTGCATAGTACAACATTTTGAGGACAGAGGTCCTACAGGGGGAGCAAGTGCACAGTGACTCCTGTTGTTGATTTAACAATTGACACTATTATTTATGACATCAGTGATCACCTGAGTCCCTTGTCATGAGCTGCCAAGGCTATGGAAGCCTCTTGAGTTCGCAAACTCCGACCTTATTTAGACAAGGCCATAGTCAAAGTGGAAGTTCTCTCCTCCCTTCAGGGAAAGGTACCTCCTTCTTTGATGGCCCGTTCTTTCCACTGGGATCTTACAGAGATCTTTCATGTAGGTCATTTTTTTTGTCACAGTATCTTGGCTTTTCATGCCTGAGATACTCTCATGGGCTTTTTAGCCAGATCTGAGTGCCTTAAGGGCTGATTCTGAGGCCAGAGTGCTGTATAAAAATGCTCTTAGCTCTAGGTCTAGCAGACATTTTTTCCCCAACTTCTTCCCAGCCCTGCTGCTGGAAGTTATGGAAGCCGTGTCAGGACCTGTTCTTTTTCTGGCTAGAATTTGTAGAAGTTCAATAAAACTTTTTTATTTTAGAGATCCCTTGTGATACTGGCTAACATTAGGTCTGGGCTGCTCAACACTGGACAACCAGTACATCAGAGAGAAGAGTTCATGTGAGGGAACAGTTTTATTCAAGAAGCTGGAAATCTTGGGAAAAAGCAGACTTCATCATTCCCAAAAGTGCTTTCCCAATTTGCAGATTGGCAGGAGGACTTTTAAAGGAAAAAGGAGAGTTGGGGGTAGGCAGGCAGGGAATAGTGTTAGGAAGGTTTCTAAGGTCAGTGTTGGTGCCTGTTAGGTAGAGGCTCGTTAATATGAAACTTGGCTGGTTTTTGGTAGTGGTCATAAATTTCTTCCTTATCTGGGATCTTCTATTCCAGCCTTCTCCCTGCAGTCGGGTCCTGAAATTCTATTGAACAAACATTCTAAACAGCCACAGGATTAGCAGTTAGATTTTGCTAGAATGTGGAAAGGAAAGGGAAGATGTACTTTGCAGTTGCAAATGTGTGGCTAGTCTTAAGGTTATGCTAGGTCTCAAGAGTGTTGGTTTAAATTCTGTTAGTTATCTTGTCCGATATTTCTAGCCCACTAACTGTAGTCTACATATTTATGTTATATATTTATTGTTGTGAGAACTTTCCTGGATGGGAATTGAAGAATCCCAGAGTCAGGAGAGACCTTTAGAGATCATCACATCAAATCCTCTTTGAATGGCTACATTCACGTCATGGCACCCCGATCCAAACTTGCACATGTGGTCAGGGAGCACTGGCTATGTCTCCTTGGGTTCTTTATTATCTCAATGTTTTCATTTTCTTTTATTTTTGTAAAATATTTATTTACTTGAGAGTCTGAGTTACAGACAGGAAAAGGAGGAGATAGAGAGGTCTTCCATCCACTGGCTGCAATAGCCAGAGCTGCTGGGCTGATCTGTAGCCAGGAAGCAGGAGCCTTCTCCAGGTCTCTCACATGGGTGCAGGGGTCCGAGTACTTGATCCATCTTCCACTGCTTTCCCAGGCCATTTGCAGGGAGCTGGATTGGAAGTGGAGCAGCCGGGACTCAAACCAGCACCCGCAGGGGATGCCAGCACCACAGGCGGAGGCTTAACCTACTAAGCCACAGTGCCAGCCCCAGTGTATTCATTTGCTAGATGAACACAAGCTGGTGACTTAAAACAAGAGAAATGTATTCGCTCACAGGTCTGTTGGCTCTAACTGAAATCAAGGAGTTGATAGGACCATGCTTCCTCTTAACTCTGCAATCAAGGAGTTGATAGGACCATGCTTCATCTAACTCTGCAGTCAAGGAGTTGATAGGACCTTGCTTCATCTAACTCTGCAGTCAAGGAGTTGATAGGACCTTGCTTCCTCTAACTCTGCAGTCAAGGAGTTGATAGGACCTTGCTTCCTCTAACTCTGCAGTCAAGGAGTTGATAGGACCTTGCTTCATCTAACTCTGCAGTCAAGGAGTTGATAGGACCTTGCTTCATCTAACTCTGCAATCAAGGAGTTGATAGGACCATGCTTCATCTAACTCTGCAGTCAAGGAGTTGATAGGACCATGCTTCATCTAACTCTGCAGTCAAGGAGTTGATAGGACCTTGCTTCATCTAACTCTGCAATCAAGGAGTTGATAGGACCATGCTTCCTCTAACTCTGCAATCAAGGAGTTGATAGGACCTTGCTTCCTCTAACTGAAATCAAGGAGTTGATAGGACCTTGCTTCATCTAACTCTGCAATCAAGGAGTTGATAGGACCATGCTTCCTCTAACTCTGCAGTCAAGGAATTGATAGGACCATGCTTCATCTAACTCTGCAGTCAAGGAGTTGATAGGACCATGCTTCATCTAACTCTGCAGTCAAGGAGTTGATAGGACCATGCTTCATCTAACTCTGCAGTCAAGGAGTTGATAGGACCTTGCTTCATCTAACTCCACAATCAAGGAGTTGATAGGACCTTGCTTCATCTAACTCTGCAATCAAGGAGTTGATAGGACCTTGCTTCCTCTAACTGAAATCAAGGAGTTGATAGGACCATGCTTCATCTAACTCTGCAATCAAGGAGTTGATAGGACCTTGCTTCCTCTAACTGAAATCAAGGAGTTGATAGGACCTTGCTTCCTCTCGAGCATTGAGGGGAGGCTCCTTCCGTGTTTCCCCAGGTGTCCATGGCAGCACCTTGGGAAGGTGTTCTCCTAGAGTCTGTCTCTTCACAGGGCCATCTTCCTCTCATTCATACAAGCTTGTGTTTCCTCCATGATGTCTGTGCCTCAACTGGGAAGACTTGAGGTGGGGCTGACTGGCATCATCTGGAGGGCCCGGCAGTTGATGCTGGCTGATGCCTGGAACCTGCGTGTGGCCCTTTACATGCATTCTGTGTGGGGCAGCTGAACCTGCTCACCACTGATGGCTGGATCCCGAGAGAGAGCGTTGCCGGGGGAAGAGGCAGAAGCGCCGACGTCTTTATGATCTAGCCTAGCTGCATAGGAGCATCTTTGCCAGACCCTAGGGGTCGAGGCAGTTACAGTGGTCCTCCCATTTCTTTAAATTTAGTAATAGTATTTCATTAGCCCTCCCAGTTTTCGGGGAGGGGGATACATAGACCTCAACACTCAATAGGTAGAGTGTAAATGTGCATTTTACAGTGTGTGGGATGGATCTGTATTTCAACCCTCTGCCAGAGATGGAAGCCAGCTTTTGTCAAAGCTCTTGTCTTCTCACTGGGTTGTGGGTTCGTGAGATCTTCCTGCATTCTCAAACACGCACAAGAAAATAACCAAATCAGTGTGAGAATGTGTCTTCAACTATGAAATCATTACACTTTGGTGTCCTCGAGGCCCGTAACAGTAAAATCAAACCTGAAGGTTATTATTCCCTTCCCTCACCTTGGATGCCCCAGCTGCATAGTAATCATTCTTTAGATGATGTGCTTTATTTTTAAAAAAGATTTATTTTATTTACTTGAAAGTAAAGAGACAGAGAAGCATTTGAGTCATCACTGCTGCCTGCCTCCCAGGGTTCCCGTTAGAGAAATCGGGATCAGGATTGGAGGTGGAGCTGGGACTTGAACCAGGCACTCCAGTATAGGATTCAGGATGTGGATAAAGCACCATCCTCACCTCTATGTCAAAGGCACACATCCCTCTCTTCTTTTTAGAGACCACAGCTCATATTTTCCTTTGAAAAGAAGGTAGATTTTCCATTTGCCTGCCTATGGCTTTCAGAATCTACATAAATTGATTATGTTCATTTGTTCACGTTACAAACACTGTACTGGGTGCTATCAATAACACAGTGAATAATGTGTAGTCTTTAACTCCGAACACCGACTACTTTTGTTTCTCCTAAATCCCACCCCCTGAAAACCAGGGTTTTGTGGATCTTTGGCCTCCGGCACAGCTCCATTGCTTCCCTAAAGGGCTGGCAGTGGGATCGATTTCTGAATGTCCTATTGACAGGAGGAAGCAGTAGGGGTCCGGGAGTGGCCATCTGACTCAAGCAAGTCTTTATGGAGGAGACAGAATTTTAGAGTCTTAAAATGCTTCATGAGCTTTGTGGAAATCCTGAGTTTTGTTAGTTTTGCTATAATAGAATTCTACTGTAATAGAATACAGTAGAATTCAGAGCAAATTATCAGCTTGTCCTGAACTACTGAGTGTGAACATTTGTACTACTGGTGTAATAAGTCTTAGCATGTGAGGACTAGCGTGCAACTCACGCTGCAGTGAGTTTTCTTGGAAAAATTAACCTTATTACATTTTTGGACTTTTATTTTGCTATTCTGTATATGCACAGAATACCAGGCTAAATAAGCTTTGGAAACAGTGCCTCAGGCATTGAAAAAAAAAAAAAACCAAAGTTTACAAATGTTATGCTAGAACTAACTTATTCTTCAAAGCAGTAACTTTTTACTGCCTGTTTGTGCTCCGTTATTGTGCTAATAAATCTATAGGGATAAGAAATCGGGACTTTACTAGTAGAGAGCCAAGTGTAACTTTTTCCAGAACCAAGTTTCTGAAGTTGTCATTTTGTGACTCACATGGACTTCCTTTTTGCCTTTCAGTTATTCTTCTCCGCCCACATCTTGCCCCGCGTGCGGAGTGTGGGTTCGGGGCTGCTTCTTTACCTGTCATCCCCTTTCCTCACACCCAGTGGGTTCTTTCTTCCTGAGGGTGGGAAAGGGTGAAAAACAAGATGAAGATTTTTCAGTTCCTTTTCCCAGGCCTTTGTTCCTGTTCCCCAAGACCGAGTTCTTGGCCAAACTGAAGGAAGTGACATGATTGGACTCAGGGTGTCTTTAGCCAAGGGTGTTTTCTTCTGAGGGCTCCTGAAGCAATCCGCGACTGAGAGATTCCGAAGTCAGAGAGAGAAGGCAGAATGGTGACACTGTAGAAAATGCTGCACACCCCAGGGTATTTCGTCAGCTGCCATTCAGAGAGCCCTCGGTGGACTGCTCACCCCCTGGAGAAGGTCTGCTCTTACTACTGTTACCGTTCCCTGTTTCTGTGGTGGAAGAAGGTGAGAGAGCGGACAAGAGTCCGCACCGGGAGGGGCCATGAAAAGGGGGAAGGCTGAAGCTGGGACACGAAGCCTAGCGGAGGCAGAGGGGGCCGGGGTAGGGCACAGGAAGCGAGACTGCGTATTGGATTCTGAGCTGGAAGGCAGCGTGGGGAGCAGTGATGACTAGGCCCAACACCTTGTCGCATTTTGGTGCAGGCATAGTCAACCCAGACTTCTCGGCCCGTATCTGTGCCGTGATGCAGAGAGAAGATGGACAAGGCTTTGCACTGGGTGCTTGAGTGGAAAGGCAGCGGACGGAGGCAAAGCATAGCCAGCTGATTTATAAATCACAACTTATTAAAATTGGAAATGTGCTTTCTTTTTGGACATAGCATGAGCTTATGAAGTTGAAAGATGACATTTGCCATCCTGAAAGCCTTTTCCAGGCTCTTGCTACACACATTAGTATCAGGAATAAGGTAAAACTGCAAACTTTCCTAAATTGGTGATCCAGTTTCTGTTTTATACTGATTTTCAGGTGATTTTTCACATATTGCCTACTAACAGATGTACAATTTGTTCTTTACTTTTTTCTCGCATTTTCTTCTTTTTTAAAATATCATTAATAAGTCAGATCTTTTTTTTAAAGTAACTTTTTTCCCCTAAATATTTATTTATTTATTTGAAATGCAGAGTTACAGAGAAAGAGAGAGAGAGAGAGTCAGAGAGAGAGATCTTCCATCTGCTGGTTCACTCCCCAAATGGCTGCAATGGCCGGAGCTGGGCTGATCGGAAGCCAGAAGCCTCCTCCAGGTCTCCCACGCAGGTTCAGGGGCCCAAGCATTTGGGCCATCTTCCACTGCTTTCCCAGGCCACAGCAGAGAGCTGGATCGGAAGTGGAGCAACCAGGACTTGAACTGGAGACCATATGGGATGCCGGCGCTTCAGGCAGCAGCTTTACCCACTGCACCACAGTGCTGGCCCCACACGTTTTCATCTTTAACTTAGCCTCAGAGGTCTTCCACTGTTGATTTTGGAAGGCAAGAAACAATTTTTTATTTCAGCTGCAAATAAATTTAAGGGGTTGCTCTCTACAGCTAATTTTCTTTATCCTTTTTTTCTGTATGACAAATCCTTTTGTGAAATTGGTGAAAGTATGAGCCATCTCTTCATAAAAATATACACTCAAAGGGCCCTGGCACTGTGGCATAGCAGGAAGAGACCCCCCTGCAGCACCAACATCCCATATGGGCACAAGTTCTAGTCCCGGATGCTCCACTTCCCATCCAGCTTCCTGCTAATGCACCTGGGAAAGCAGTGGAAGATGGCCCAAGTGCTTGGACCCCTGAGACCCAGAAGAAGCTCCTGGCTCTTGGCTTCAGATTGCCCCAGCTCCAGCCCTTGCGGGCCACTTGGGGAGTGAACCAACAGATGGAAGACGTCTCTCTCTCTCTCCGCATCCCTCTCTCTTTGTAGTCCTACATTTCAGAATAAATAAATAAATCTTTAAAAATGAATGTATACACTCAGTTTTGCCTACAGTTTCAGAGGAATAAAATTCCCTCAAGGTTACAGACGCAGGCCATCAATAGTAAGAATGAGTTGTAGCGTGCGGAGGTAGGCACGGCCTCAGAGCTGGTGCAGGCGCAGCCACAGACAGGTGTTGCACATCTTTGCACAGGACCTTTCTCATGGTGTGGGAGCTTCTGTAATTAAAATATGATGAGAACAGCTGGCCACCAGCTCACACTGGCAACACAACAAGAATGTCAATAAATGCATCGCAGGAGAAAACTCACAGACACAGCTGTTTCTAATGGAGACACTGAGTCTGTAGCCCTCCAGACGAGAGCTTCAACTTTTCCATTTCACTCACACTTGCTGTAGCATCTTTAATGTTGACAATATGCCGAGAGTCCTATGGTCGTTAAAAATGCCACCAAGGGCATTCAGGCTTTGTAAAACCTTGGAAAATGAGTTAAATCCCAATAACTCCGCACATGTCTTATTGTTGCTTGCTGAAACGGCAAAATATGAGTCCCAGAACTCCGGACTTTGTTTTGCCATAACCCACAAACCCCTTGAAGCAAGAGAGGGATCGGATTCCCGGGTGCAGTGTCCAGCGTGGCCGGCAGGGTGCGCTCGTGAGCAGGGGACGGCGGCTCCCAGGAGCACGCAG